AAAAAAAAAAAAAAAAAAAGATACATCATGTTGAGGTAAAAGACCTTCCTTAATTTGGCCATCTCCTTTTTATTTCTTTAGACACCGTTTCCAACATTTCATTTTGGCACATGAATCTGTGAGGAAGTCTCTGAGCATTTTCTTTCCCCTTTAGACTGTCTCCTTAGAAGAGAATTCTGTGTGGCACATTACTGGCTAAAGAGCATCCTTTAAATAATTTTCAAACATTTTGCCGAGTAGCTTTCCAGTAGTTTATGTCTTTCTCAGCTGCTACAGAAATAAGAGTTTGTCCAAGGTCCCTTAAAACTAAATACATATGCACATCTTTAGGTTGTTTTTTTTTTTTTTTTAGTTACAGTGATTGCTTTTGTAGGCATTTATAAAAAATCTGGGAACTTGCTGTAATTTACCTTGTAACAAAGGGACAGACTAGTATCTTACTGGGTTAAAGCAAGTGTGCAGGACTCTGCTTTACTTCTATTGAGTTCACAGGTATTCATGGAGCCTGCAGTGGAAATCCACAGCTGAGGGTGGTTTTCCAAAAGGAGTTTTTTCCTCTTTAGGTTAGATCTTCCCTTTCCTGCATTTTCCTGTCAAGAAACTGAAGTGGAAATTACCCTTAAAAAGCCCCACCAGCTGGGTTGAGTCAGAATCATGTCTTTTTCTGTTGAAATCTATTCCTTGTGTTAGAGACTATAATTCTAAAATTAGCATCAAGCTAATTTAAAGCAACAGAGTTGCTTGGAATGAACATGTCTGCTTTGTCATCACTTTATCTTTCAGATTATTCCCAGATGTGGTGAGTTTATGACTTAGGCAGTGGTATAGGAAACAACCAGGGCTCTGGTTCTAGCAGCCCTTCATTTGCCCTGGGCATTTGCTGGGTATTGTTTAATAGGATTTAAGTGTGCATTTCCCCTCCTCCTTATCTGTTCTCTCACCTTGGCCTCCCAAAGTGCTGGAATTATATGAGTGAGCCACCGCACCCAGCATGGTTTACATTTTTTAAGAATGTGGAAAATGTTTTTTCCCAAATCATGAAGTTCCAGTTGGAGTAATGCATCGTCAAATTGAAACCTCATGGTGTTAGTCATTGTGGCAGGGTATGACCAGAACTTGCTGAGGGGCTAGCCTGGGTGGTGCAGGTTGTTGTGGTGGCTAATTCAGGCACAGCACTGTCTGTACAGTCTCCCACTTTCTCTCTTTCAAAAAAAAATTAATTATTTAATTTAAAAAAATTTTAGAGGCAGCATGTCCTGTATGTTGCCCAGGCTGGATACCAGCTCCAGGACTCAAGCAGTCTTCCTACCTTAGCCTCTTGAGGAGCTGAGACTACAGGCAAGCACCACTGTGTCCACTTCCCACCCGCTCTTTGACTGATGAGGCCAGGGGTCTGAAAGTCTGAAGAGTAGAACAAGCTGACTGGCCCCAGCCCCTGGGGTCATGCCTTAGTGTGTTTGGGGCAGCTCTTAGTACAGGGTTCTAACCAGAGGAATGATGGGAGCCCCACAGACATCTCCCAATACCCAAGTCATTGTGAATGTTTATGGAACAGCCCCTTCTAGCCTTCACAGGAGTAACAAGCCCTTGCATCTGCAGGCCACTGTATGACTTTAAAAGACTTCAGTTTTTCTTTAATAATACTTCAAGATAGAGAGGGAAAGGGGTGCTAGCTACTTTTTACACATGTGGGGACATTAAAGCTCAGAGTAGTTTCATAGCTTAATCTGGGTCAGAGTAAGTCAGTAGTGAACCTAAAACTAGAATGTGTCTATGTCTTATGTTTTTAAGGTGAGTGCACTTTGTGGCACAGGTGTTGTATATAAGTATGACACCTCGAAATATTGCCATTGGGACTGTTTAAAAATCAGGGTTCTCTAAACATCTGGCAGGAACATTTTTTTCATTATCTTGAGGTTCGGGTGGCTGCTGGGGACATGGGGTGATATCTAGGGAACCCTCCCAGTTACAGAGAGCGGCGGGAGACCCTCCTGCTGATCTAACCAAACCTTTGTCATCTGAATGTGAATTACATAGTAGCATGAATCCGGTGGTGTGGTTTTAGGAAGTACTTGGATAAGGCATTAAATCAAATCAACTAACTTTTCTTGTTTTTTCAGTCTTTTTTTTTTTTTAATCGGAGTCTCACTCTGATGCCTAGGCTAGAGTGCCATGGTATTCTTACGGGCCACCACAGCCTCAACCTGCTGGGGTCAGTTGATCCTTCTGCCTCAGCCTTCCAAGCAGCTGGAACTACAGGAGTGTGCCACCATGCCTGGCTAATTTTTTGATTTATTGTAGAAACGAGGTCTCATCAGGTTGCCCATACTGGTCTCAGGCAATCCTCTCACCTCCACCTCCCAAAATGCTGGGATTACAGGCATGAGCTAGGCACCTGACTTCAGTCTTTTTTATTAACCAAAGGACAAAGTGTCAGTTTGGTGCTAGCATATTTTTAATCTCCAGCATTTTATAATCTCCACTTTTAACTAAGAGACCTAGTCTCAGCAGCCTTCAGGCCAAACTGTGATAGTATTACTTTGTTTTCATTGTATTCACCTTTTTTGTTGTTATCAGGATCTCACTCTGTTGTCTAGGCTGGAGTGAAGTGGCAAAATCACAGCTCATTGCTGCTTCTACCTCCTGGACTCAGGCAATCCTTCCACCTCAGCCTCCTGAATAGCTGGGACTATAGGCACATGCTCCACTAATTTTATTGTAGAGACTAGGTCTTGCTATGTTCCCTAGGCTTGTCATGAACCCTTGGGTTCATAATTTGTATCTTTTATTTTAAATTGGTTGTCTGAAGTGAATATTAAATGAAATAAACAGTAGCCCAGATGGTTTTGGAAATGGCAGAACTGGCAGAGGAGCTAAGGAAGACAAGGTCAAGGAGACCCTGTGGTGGAGGTAGCCTGGGTCAAGCCAAATGAAGCAGATGGCACTGATTACTAATGCCAGGAGGCTTGAGAAGGACGTGTGCTGTGCTGAGGGATGGGCTGATTTGAGCAGGGAGGGGCAGTGGTTGGTCTGGATCTAAGCAGTCACAAGGGTTATGGTGTTTCTTTTTCCCTCCTTCCAGAAACGGGCCTGAGTTTGAAGCTAGGATACGACAGAACGAGATCAACAACCCCAAGTTCAACTTTCTGAACCCCAATGATCCTTACCATGCCTACTACCGCCACAAGGTCAGCGAGTTCAAGGAGGGGAAGGCTCAGGAACCCTCAGCTGCCATCCCCAAGGTCATGCAGCAGCAGCAGCAGGCCACCCAACAGCAGCTGCCCCAGAAGGTTTGGAGCCCAGCCCCTCCCCTCAATTCCCCAGGGCCGAGGGGGAGGCAAGACAGGGAGTGGGTACATAATTAACTACTGTCCAAACCTCACAGCCACCCAGGGGGACAAGTGAGGTTGTTACCCCATTGGTCACAGGGCAGACACTAAGCTTCAGACAGCGAAGTATGATGGCAGTTGGCATTTCCTGAGCACTACCTGTCAAGCTCTGTGCTTAGTTCTTTAGGAGCCTTGTCTCATTGACTCTTCACAGAGGCTGCATGAGGAGGCCAGTAGAGTGAACATTTTACAGATGAGGAATCTGAAGTTTGGAGGAAATGTGATTAAGCCAAGGTCTTGATCATGGTGTAAAAGCAGTGCTGTGGTGTGTAAAGGACTTTCTTTCTGGGTGTGCTAAAGAATGCATTGTGGCCTGTGGGCCTCTTCTTGTGTCATCCCTTCCCTTCTGTCTCATCTTCCCAGGGCCTGTCTGTCTGGCCTGCCCCAATTCCACCCTCCCTGAGCTGAGGCCCAGCACTAGGGAGTCTTAGGGTTGTGAATGAAGACAGACTGACACATTTTGCCTCCCGTGTAAACCTGGACTGGTCCCTTCACCTTGGTGCAACTGTAGTGGAAAAGTTAGTCCTCTGTTTGGTAGTAGGATGTAAAAGCTGAAGTCAGGTTCTAAGGCCTTGCATTGCAATACTACTTCTAAGGTCTCGGGCTGTTTCTTTATCTATAAAAAAGATAAACAGTACCTGTTCTGTCTACCGTGTGGTTCATTTGAAAGTCATGGAAATAGTTTGTACAGTGGGTTTCTCTGCACACATGTAGGCCTTACTACCTTTCCATCCCCCTTGGGTGGGATTGTATTCCTGTTGGGTCTTCTGCCACCTAGTTTTTGCCCTTGATTTCAAGGCGGGAGTGAGATACAGAGGGGCATGAATCTCATTCAAAGCTGTTCAGGGACTTGACGCCATACTTGGCTGGGAAATGGATGCTCTTGTGAGGTAGGGTTCTTTCACACCATATGTGTATGTTAATTAACAGAAGCATAGAGGTCCACAGCCATCCTGCCTAAGGGTACATTCCTACACCCTCTCTTGAACCTGTCCACCCTGTGCATCTTGCCTTACATTCCCTCTGCATCTTAGGTCCAAGCCCAGGTGATTCAAGAGACCATCGTGCCCAAAGAGCCCCCTCCTGAATTTGAGTTCATTGCTGACCCGCCATCCATCTCAGCCTTTGACCTGGACGTGGTGAAGCTGACGGCTCAGTTTGTGGCCAGGAATGGCCGCCAGTTTTTGACTCAGCTGATGCAGAAAGAGCAGCGCAACTACCAGTTTGATTTTCTCCGTCCACAGCATAGCCTCTTCAACTACTTCACTAAGCTGGTGGAACAGTATACCAAGGTGCCTGGGCAGGGTAGGGGCTGGGCTACTGGGTGCAGGGAAGGAAAACATTTTACTACTGCCACTGTCTACAAGGGTGCTACTTCTCTGTGGGGCTGCTGAGCAAATGTTATGAAGTGCAGTTTAATGTATAATCCTGATTTCTATCCAGTTACTTCTTTAAATGCAACACGGGCTACTTGTTTCTGTTTCTTTGTTTTTTTCCTTTCTTTTTCTTTCGGTTTTTTTTTTGAGTTGGAGTCTCACTCTGTTGCCTGGGCTGGAGTGCAGTGGTATGTCACGGCCACCCCAGCAGTGACCCACAGGGCTCAGGCAGTCCTTCCGCCTCTGCCTTTCAAACAGCCAGAACTACAGGCGCATGCTGTCACACTCAGCTAATTTTTTGATTTATTGTAGAGATGAGGCCTAGCCAAGTTGCCCAGGCTGTTCTCAAACCTATGAGCTCAGGCAGTCCCTTCACCTTGGCCTCCCAAAGTGCTGGTGTATTCGACTTGAGCCACCACACTGACCTCCTTGTTTCTAAAGAGAAATTAAACACATGATTGTTAACTACCATTAGGTGATTGCCTGCTATGTGTCAAAGCTAAGTGGTGCCAGCTGCTTTTAAGTATGTTTCCTTTTTAATTGCCTAGTATGTGACCTGAGAAGAAGCAAGCCTTTAAGAATTACCTCGTATTACCTAATTTAGTCCTCACCAGAACCCATGAGGTATGTAGTTTTTTCCCCATTTTTCAGCTGAAATAGGCTGAGAGGTAAAGTCAAGTACTCAAGTCTGTCAGCTAGTAAGTAGCTCTACTAAGATTTAAACTATATTTGACTCTAAAACTTTTGTTCTTCACCCTACAACATATCTTTTTTTTTTTTTTTTGAGTTGAAGTCTCACTCTGTCATCCAGACTGGAGTGCAGTGGCCACTCCCGGCCACCGCAGCCTCGACCTGCTGGGTTCCAGCGATCCTTTCGCCTCAGCCTTCTGAGTAGCTGGAATTACAGGCATGCGCTACCATGCCCGGCTAATTTTTTGATTTTATTGTAGAGATGAGGTCTCGCCTGCCCAGGCGGGTCTTGAACCCGTGGGCTCGAGCAATCCACTCACCTCAGCCTCCCAAAGACGCAGGATTACAGGTTGAGCCACCGAGCCCGGCTGACAACATATCTTAAATTAGAAATATCATTTGAGTACACATTGAACACTTTAATGTGATATAAGTCAATATAACTAACATTATTAAGAACTTACGTATGCAGCATCTTCTCATCTAATCTCTAATAGCTTATGATGAGGTAGCCACTATTATTATGCTCACTTTTCCAAAGGGAAAACTGAGGCACACTAGATCATACAGCTGGGAGGTTGCAGAGTTGGGCCTTGAGCTTTTACTTCGGACTCGAAGATCTTAATTACCATGTGACATAGCTGCAATCAAGAATCTGGACAAGCCGGGCTCGGTGGCTCAGCCTGTAATCCCGCGCTTTGGGAGGCAGAGGTGAGTGGATTGCCTGAGCCGGTGGGTTTGAGACCCGCCTGGGCAACTTGGCGAGACCTCATCTCTACAATAAATTAAAAAAAAATCAGCCGGGCATGGTAGCGTGCACCTGTAGTTCCAGCTACTTGAAAGACTGAGGCGGAAGGATCGCCGGAGCCCAACAGGTCGAGGCTGCGGTGGCCAGGAGCGTGCCACTGCACTCCAGTCTGGGCAACAGAGTGAGACTCCAACTCAAAAAAAAAAAAGAATCTGGACAAGTCACTACTGTTATTTAAAATAATCAGATCATTAATTTATTGGAAAGCGTACTGATAGAGATTTGCCTGTGGCATGTCTTTCTTGCTACACATATCATGGAGGTTGTGTTTTCCTTCCCTTTTCAGTGGGATGGTCTGTACATTTCTTGATATCTAGAAGCAACACATTAAAGATCTGACTTGAAAAGACGTAAGGATTTTCTCTAACTTCATTCATTCACAGTATATAAAAGAGACAATTATAGGCTGAGCATGGTGGCTCACCCTTTGATCCCAGCACTTTGGGAGGCCAGGGTGAGACAATTGCCTAAATCCATGGGTTTGAGACCAGCTTAGGCAAATTGGCAAGACCTCATCTCTACAATAAATCAAAAAATTAGCTGGGAGTGGTGGCGCATGCCTGTAGTTCCAAATACTTGGAAGGCTGAGGCAGAAGGATTACCTGAGCCCAGCAGGTCGAGGCTATGGTGGCCGTGGGCGTACCACTGCACTCCAGCTTTGGCGGCTCGAAAAGAAAGAATTGTAAGTATGTAAATGTTTAGAAATGACCAAATCCAGAAGCTAATACAGTAACTAAAACAATCATTGAAAGCCCAGGGCCGAAGGGTTGCTATTATAAGTACATAGTATCAATTTTAGGTGAGCCTTGAGTTAATTTCTTCCAGTGGACTGCTTCTTGGGTTAAAGATTTTAGATCTCTTTTTATTCTGTTATTTTATTGTTTTTTCTCTTTCAGAACTTTGGTGTTGGTATTTACTGTTCTAACTTGAGGTCACTGGTGCCTGTAACCATGCTCTATGATCAGATCCTTGGGATAGAAGTACAAGGGGATCAGGGTAGTGCTGAGCCGGTTTGCCAGTGACAGTAGATACTGTTGTGGCACTTGGAATGACTGGCTATTTAAAACAATGGCAGCATTCCTTCTCTCAGTAAATGTACATTGTCAGACATTATTCAGAGTGCTGGATCTAAACAGAAGACAGAAATCCCTCTTTTCGTGGAGTTTCTAGTCTAGTGGGGAGGAGACCAGTGCAATGTCATCTTATGTCAGATGATGCTGAATACTATGGAAAAAAGCAGGGGGTGGAAATATAGGGAGGTGTGGCAGGTAGGCTGCTGTTTTGAGTAGGATAGTCAGGGAAGGCCTTAGTAGTATTTTCTATTTTTTTTAACTTGGAGTTTCAGTGTGTCACCCAGGCTGGAGTGCAATGGCACACTCAAGGCCACCGCAGCCTTGATCCGCTGGGTTCGTGCTATCCTTCCACCTCAGCCTTCCAAGTAGCTGGAACTACAGGCACATGCCACCACGCCCAGCTGATTTTTTGATTTATTGTAGAGATGAGGTCTCACCAAGTTATCCATGCTGTCTTGAACCCATGGGCTTGGCAAAGTGTTGGGATTATAGTCATGAACCACTGTGCCTGGTCTGAGTAGTATTTTCAGAAGGATAGGCACATATTAGTCTCATGAAAGCAGCCATCACATATTGACCATGTGTGGATAATCTACCAGTGCTTTACGTACTTCCCCCAATTCTTCAAGCAACCTTCTAAAATTATTGGTGCTACCATTTGATAGAAGAAAACCAGGTTACTGGAGTTAAGTAACTTGCCCAGAGTCCCGTAGCCAAGTGTAGCTGGGATTGAGATTCAGAATCCCATTCTCTCTCTTCTGTGCCTTACCACAGGCCCTGGAAGACTGCCTCTCTGTCCTGTGTTGTGCTACACTGATAGTTGCTTTAACTCTTTGTTTCAGATCTTGATTCCACCCAAAGGCTTGTTTGCAAAGCTCAAGAAAGAGGCTGAAAACCCCCGAGAAGTTTTGGATCAGGTAAACTGAATAGGATTTCTTGCAACCAGTTGTTGATGGTGCAAGTTCTCCTTTGTGTGTTCTGTTTTGTGTTTGGAAACAGTCTCTCAGGCAGTACCTTGTTATGTTCCAGGCACAGGAATGGTGGGAAGAAAGGTCTTGTGGGCTACAAAAGCCAAAGAAACCTGGATTCCCTAAACTTTTCAACATACTGCTACTTTCTTCTTTGCTCTCAGCTTCAGTAGGTCTTCTCTTTTCCACTCTAGCTAGAAGGCCATCTCCTGAGCTTGTCCTCTGCTGATAGATGCTTTTGAAGCTCCCAGATTTTCAGAGTTAGAATGTATATTAATGCTAGCTGGTTTGGGGCTCTACGTGAAGGCTTTTGTTTCTCAGGCTGTCAGACTGCTGCTTCTCTTGAGGACAGTAGGTGGTCATGCACACTTCCTGGAGGATTTTGCTACTCTGAGCCCCTTGCCAACATAAGCAGAAAACTTTGAGGTTATAATATAATAGTTGCCTTTGGGGACCAGATGGAGGGTGGAATTTTCATCCTATTCAAACTATTGGCCTGACTGAAACTGGGTACAAATACCATAGTTTGCTCTAGGAAGCAAACTGTGGGCAGAATATTATCCTCTTTTGAAGGAGGTACTGGCTTTGGTGAGTGCCCTGGAAGGGATAGCCTCATCAGGAGCAAATCCTGATTCAGCTTGGCACCTGGCTTTTTCCCATCCCTGCAGGTGTGTTACCGGGTAGAATGGGCCAAGTTCCAGGAGCGTGAGAGAAAGAAAGAAGAGGAGGAGAAGGAGAAGGAGCGGGTGGCCTATGCTCAGATCGACTGGCATGATTTTGTGGTGGTAGAAACAGTAGACTTCCAACCCAATGAGCAAGGTAGGTCTGTAGAAGAGGACCTCCAGATGAGGAGCCAGGAACTCTGAGCCTTCCCAGGAGACCTTGTACAAGTGTTCCCAAGGCACAACAGAATCTCAGTGTCTCTTTTCTCTTTCCTCCCTTAAGATTTCAGTTCTGGCTGGGCTCAGTGACTTAGCCTGTAATCCCACACTTTGGGAGGCCGAGGTGAGTGGATTGCCTGAACCCATGGGTTCAAGACCCGCCTGGGCAACTTGGCGAGACCTCATCTCTACAATAAATCAAAAAATTAGCCGGGCGTGGTAGTGCATGCCTGTAGTTGCTTTTGAAGCTCCCAGATATTCAGAGTTAGAAGTTATATTGATGCTAGCTGGTTTGGGGGTCTACGTGAAGGCTTTTGTTTCTCAGGCTGTCAGACTGCTGGTTCTCTTGAGGACTGCCTGTACTTGGAAGGCTGAGGCGGAAGGATCGCCGGAGCCAAGCAGGTCAAGGCTGCAGTGGCCGGGAGTGGCCACTGCACTCCAGTCTGGGCGACAGAGTGAGACTCCAACTCAAAAAAAAAAAAAAAAAAAAAAGATTTCAGTTCTACAGCTTTGTCCCAGTTAAATCCAAATCACCAGATACTTTCTGTGTCAGACCCTGGGTGGGCCTCTGGAGATAGGAAGAGAAATCAGACACAGCCTCAGTCCTTGGAGAGTTCATGCAGACAGGGCAAATAGATGGGTCTTTGATAGAGAATACCTTTGCCTCTGCCTCACCCTCTGCCAGGAAACTTCCCTCCCCCTACCACACCGGAAGAGCTGGGGGCTCGAATCCTCATTCAAGAGCGCTATGAGAAGTTTGGGGAGAGCGAGGAGGTTGAGATGGAGGTTGAGTCTGATGAGGAGGATGAGAAGCAGGAGAAAGCAGAGGAGCCTCCTTCCCAGCTGGACCAGGACACGCAAGTGCAAGACATGGATGAGGTAAGGTCCTGGATGGGCCTGTGGGATGACCTTTTTCCTGGAGCCCCAGGAGATCGGGGTGTGTTCCACAAGAGTCAGAGATCTAACTCTCTTCTGAGCTTTGAAAGATGAGTCCTGAACAAGGCTGTATAGCTGCCCAAGCCCAGGCAGCACAAGCCTCTTTCCAGCTCTGGCAACAAAGATTCATTCACAGGCAGTGATCTAAAAGCTGTACTGGCCTCGTTCTGCGGCCTTACCCTTGGCCCAGATGCTTTGCTCCCGTTGCCCCATGCCAGCCCTCAGTTAGGGAGCTCTGCATCATCCTATGCATTTTGAGTTCCTAGTCAGGCCCCAGGCTCCCAGAGCTTTTCTAAATGTAGCCTCTCAGACATCCCTTCCCCCTTCCTCTCAGACATCCCTTCCCCCTTCAAGCCAGGCCTCCAAGCAGGCATAGAGTCTCTAGGGCCAAGCCGTTCTTCCCCCCTTGGAAAAAATTTGTGCACAGCTTGAGAAGAAAGGCTCCTGTGTCTGTGGGAATTGACTTCTTCTCTCCCTCCCAGCATTGCTCTGTGAGTGGCTACCATTGAGTGCTGACTTGCTCCCCCGTTTCTCCCCCCAGCATGTTAAATGCCCTTGGCCTCTTGGGACTGCCTGGTGCCAGCTGCTGGAAATGCCTGGGAGGAGTTAGCACCATGGCCTCCAGCGTTCCCATTCATGCTTTGAGGAAGCAGCTTGGCCTAATGCCGACTGACCTCGACTGCCCTGGGAGGCTTAGCACATGGATGCTGGCTGGCAGAGGCCACGGCTCCATGCCACCCTGAGAGTTGCCAGGGCTTAGCTGCAGGGAGGTAACCTCTTGTCCCCTCTCTGGGTCCTGCCACTGCTTTGCTTTTCAGGGTTCAGATGATGAAGAAGAAGGGCAGAAAGTGCCTCCACCCCCAGAGACACCTATGCCTCCGCCTCTGCCCCCGACTCCGGACCAAGTTATTGTCCGCAAGGACTATGATCCCAAAGGTAGAGTCTGCTTCCCAGCCCTTGGGCTGCCCAGAAAGGTCCTTCCTGCCTGCCTTGTATGTTCCTCAGACCTGTCTGTTTCTAGGAGAACTTGAGGCAGCTTGTTGTGAAAACACTGATAGCCCTTCTACTATAGGCGTCATGGTGGGGAGCAGGGTCTAGTCATCCCTGGTGTCCTACTGCCTTGCACAATGCTAGGTACAGGGATGACACTGAGTGGATGTGTCTTGAATGAGTGATGTATGAATGAAGTACCACCCTCTTAACCCAGGCTGCCACCCAAAGTTCTTACTCAGATATCTCTGTTGCCTTTTAGCTTCTAAGCCCCTGCCTCCAGCCCCTGCTCCAGATGAATATCTTGTGTCCCCTATTACGGGAGAGAAGATCCCTGCCAGCAAAATGCAGGAACACATGCGCATTGGACTTCTTGATCCTCGCTGGCTGGAGCAGCGAGATCGCTCCATCCGTGAGAAGCAGAGTGATGATGAGGTGTACGCACCAGGTGAGATGGGGGTTTCAGGAGAGTCTTATATTTTCTCTAAGAAACATAGAAAGCGATAGTTGAGGTCAACCAAAGCTTTTGAGGATGGATGCAGCCTATGATGTTACAAAAGAACTCCCCATTTCCAAAAGGACGCCCCATAGGGATTCTCCAGAGGCAGGCTCTGATGTAGATGACATGTTCTTTTTGACATCCCAGAACAAGATCTAGTTATAGCTGGGAGGGGTGTTTGTTCCTTTATCTGTCTTAGAATTAGGGCACTAGCCAGGCTCGGTGGCTCAGCCTGTAATCCTGCGCCTTTGGGAGGCTGAGGTAAGTGGATTGCCTGAGCCCACAGGTTCGAGACCCACCTGGGGCAGCGAGACCTCATCTCTACAGTAAATCAAAAAATCAGCTGGGCGTGGTAGCGCATGCCTGTAATTCCGGCTACTCGGAAGGCTGAGGCGGAAGGATCGCCGGAGCCCAGTAGGTTGAGGCTGCGGTGGCCGGGAGCAGCCACTGCGCTCCAGAGCGCTCCAGTCTGGGCGACAGAGTGAGACTCCAACTCAAAACAAAACAAAAAAAAGAATTAGGGCACTGATGGCTGGTATACCCTCAGCTTCTTGGACTGTAACACAGTGGTTCTGTTGCTGCTGTGTGAGAAGCAACATGGTACTGAAGGAATTATACCAGAGATGGGAGACTGGGCTTCTAGTCTTGACTCTGCCATTTACCATTTGTGCAGCCTCTCTGCACAGTTGCCCTCTCTGGCCCACTGTCCTTTTATAAGTCAGAGAGATTGGACAAGCACTGGGTTTATAAGCTTAGTGTCAGTTGGATCCTTTTCCCAGGCTCAGAAAAAGAGTGCTATGTTGGGGCCCAGAGTCACCCTCATTCCATGGAACCAGCCTGCACCCTGTACACAGGAAAGTTTCTGCCTTGTTAGAAGGCAACTGGTTTAGTTTCTCTTTCTGTCCTCTGCCTTCATTCTCTGACTGTACAGGTCTGGATATTGAGAGCAGCTTGAAGCAGTTGGCCGAGCGTCGTACCGACATCTTTGGTGTAGAAGAAACAGCCATTGGTAAGAAGATTGGTGAGGAGGAGATCCAGAAGCCAGAGGAAAAGGTATGGCTAAAGTGGATTCTAGTGCCTTCTCTGCCCTCAGTCTTCCACACTTAGGCTTAGTTCCAGGAGCCCTAATAAACTGGTTTTCCTTTCTCTTGCAGGTGACCTGGGATGGCCACTCAGGTAGCATGGCCCGAACCCAGCAAGCTGCCCAGGCCAACATCACCCTCCAAGAGCAGATCGAGGCCATCCACAAGGCCAAGGGCCTGGTGCCAGAAGATGACACCAAAGAGAAGATTGGTCCCAGCAAGCCCAATGAAATTCCCCAGCAGCCACCACCTCCATCTTCTGCCACCAATATCCCCAGCTCGGCCCCACCCATTACCTCAGTGCCCCGACCACCTGCAGTAAGCCAGCAGCCCACCCTGTGACTTTTTAAAAGCTTGGTTCTTGGGGTTAGACACTATTGACTGAGAAGGGCAACAGTTGCCTTATATCATGGCCTGAGTGCTAAGTGGGTCAAGATGAAAGGGAGAAAACCATTTAAATGGTAGTGGAAACCTCTAGCCTGACCTGTCTGTGGAGGAGGATTGAAATAGGGAGGGAGACGAGTGACAACTGTGAGAAGCCAGTTTATGACAGAGAAGGGCTGTAGGGCTTAGATGAGGCCTGCTAGCCCATCTCCAGGAGGCTGAGTCAAGGTCAGCCTCTTTAGTGGTTCTCAGTGTTTACCACGAGCAGCTGGTTGAGTCAGACACAGTGTGAGGCATCTCAGCCCCAGGTGGCTAAGTTGGAACTGTCCAGGCCCTGTCCTCAGAGCTGCAAGTGGCCATTGCCAGCTGTGTGTACTCTTGGAGTCCAACTTTGGCTTCCTATGACCTGTGGGTTACTTTCCCCCAACAGATGCCACCTCCTGTCCGTACTACAGTTGTGTCTGCAGTGCCTGTCATGCCCCGGCCCCCAATGGCATCTGTGGTCCGGCTGCCCCCAGGCTCAGTGATCGCCCCTATGCCGCCCATAATCCACGCGCCCAGGATCAATGTGGTGCCGATGCCTCCTTCTGCTCCTCCTATCATGGCACCTCGCCCACCCCCCATGATTGTGCCAACAGGTCAGTTTCTCTCACGTCACTTTCCAAGCAGTTGTGTCAGGGACCACAGGCCAAGGTGCACTGTCAGCAGAGCAGTGGCTGGTGGTAGTGTGTCTGGCCCAGAGGAGAACCCTGGCTTCCCATGTGAAAGATCCCCAAGCTTAGAACTGGGAGTCACAGCTCTTGGAGATAGGAGGATGAAATGGCATAGCTGATTTCTATGCACCCAGGGGCCAGGCTTCTGACAGACTCAGTGGTCTGACAGGTGCTTATTGTTGGCTGGCATCTGCCCAGCCTGTCAGTCCTACCTCTTCTCTAGCCTCCTCCTGCCCAGTTTGGGCAGTCTGCCAGGAAACCTGCTGGCTACCAGTCTCAGCAAGGAGTAGATCTTCACATCTCCAACTGGGGGAAACCTTTGCAATCTCCCTTCTCAATTTCTCACCATCCCTGAATCCTGGACCTCTTCTGCCCATTCATCGGGCTGCTTATTCCTGTCTTTGCAGCCTTTGTGCCTGCTCCACCTGTGGCACCCGTCCCAGCTCCAGCCCCAATGCCTCCTGTCCACCCCCCACCTCCCATGGAAGATGAACCTGCCTCCAAAAAACTGAAAACAGAGGACAGCCTCATGCCCGAGGAGGAGTTTCTGCGCAGGAACAAGGTATGAGATCCCAGAGTGCTGCCTGTGGCCTGGAGTGTCCAGTCCCACCCCAGGCTGATTCTATTCCACTCCCACAGTTTTGGCTTCTGGGGTCTAGGTCAGCCATGGAGGCTTCTGAGTGCATGCCAAATGTGAGGGAGACGAGCAATGATCGTAGTAGTGGTATTTCCCCCCTGATGTGGACCCTAATAGAGGCTAGCAGGAAAACCCAGCTACAGGAGTAGCAGGACTTGGGTGTGAGAGGGACCCTGGACATCTGGAGGAAACCCTGGGCACAGTTTTTAAATTTAGTGTGACCTTCCTCCTCTGCTTCAGTCGTCAGGAGTTCTGCCTACTTTGATGGGATTCGGTGGTGTGGGAATAAGGGGAGGTGGTAACCTTGGCACTGCTTATCTCTAGGGAAATCGGTAGGCTCCACTGAGGAGGCAGAAACAGCCCCAGCTCCCCCAGTGTATTTGACCAATCCTTTTCTTGTTTCTTTTCTAATAATAGTTTTATATCTTGAACACTTACTCAAGTACCAGGATAGAGCTAGGCACTTTTCTGTTTATTGCTCACAAAAGTTGTGGTCAACTCTGTCTTACAGATAATGTCATTGATCCTCAGAGAGACCTATTTAGTTGGATACCCAGGTCTTCTATCCAACAGGTCATATTCTTTTTCTTTGTGGTTCTTGGAGTTTGCAAAGCATTTTCACCTAAGTTCTTAACTTTAGCTCCAGACTTATTAGGTGGCAAGACATGGATTATTTTAAAGAAAAGAAACTAGATCTTGAAAAGGGAGCGAGACTTGTGCAACATCCCAAGTGGTATCAGTTATGAATCGGGGGCCAGAATCCAGGAGCCCAGATGGACAGGTGACATTATCCAGACTGGCCCAGAGACAGCAGAACATAGTTCCTGATTGACTCAGGGCTCCTTGGGCATAATGACCACCTCCTGTTTTTCAGGGTCCAGTGTCCATCAAAGTCCAGGTGCCCAACATGCAGGATAAGACAGAATGGAAACTGAATGGACAGGTGCTGGTCTTCACACTCCCACTCACAGACCAGGTATGAGTTGCTGCCACACACTGGCATCAGGTGCACGGGAGCCAAAAGGTCAGGGAACAGTTTCCTCCATCTGACCTTAGTAAGGGGGTGAGTGACCTCTCCTTGGTCCCACAGGTCTCTGTCATTAAGGTGAAGATTCATGAAGCTACAGGCATGCCTGCAGGGAAACAGAAGCTGCAGTATGAGGTGAGTCAGAGTGTCCACAGTCCTGCTCCTTGGGCCCCAGCACCTCTGCCATCGCAGAAGTTAAGACCCCTATGGAAACACAAAAGGGAGTGGAGAGAGATCTGGGTTTGGCCATCTGTGTCCATCCTAAAAGTGATGAGGCTTGCTAGGAGTGCTGGGATAGGTGAGTCCAACAGTGTGAGGCTCTGGCAAGGTCATGGTTCAGTCTATGTGGGGTCCAGAAAATTCCTTGGATAAGACTTGGGAGTGCTCTGGTGGGTTTCTGACCCAGTGGTGCAGCTATCCTAGCTAGTATGATCTCAGGCAGCCTGGCTTTGTGCATGGACATGGTAGTCCAGCCTAACTTGATGCCTGCCAGGTCACATCAAGGTGATATGTTCTTCTTTGGACTTTAACACTTTGGGATGCCAAGGCAGGAGGATCGCTGGCACTCAGAAGTTCAAGTCCAGCCTGGGCAACATAAAAAGACCTTGCTCTTAAAAAAATTAAATTATCTGGGCATGGTGGCATGTGCCTATAATCCCAGTTTACTTGGGAGGCTAAGTCAGGAGATTGCTTGAGCACAGGAGCTGGATGCTACAGTGAGCCATAATCATGTCACTGCACTCCAGCCTGGGTGACAGAGTGAGAACTCAACTCAAAACAAAAATCCCCACTGTATACCTCAGTTATCTCTCTTTTTTTTTTTTTTTTGAGTTGGAGTCTCACTCTGTCACCCAGACTGGAGTGCAGTGGCCGCTCCTAGCTACCGCAGCCTTGACCTGCTGGGCTCCGGCGATCCTTCCGCCTCAGCGTTCCAAATAGCTGGAACTACACGCCCGGCTAATTTTTGATTTTATTGGAGAGATGAGGTCTTGCCAAGTTGCCCAGGCAGGTCTCGAACCCGCGGGCTCAGGCAATCCACTCACCTCTACCTCCCAAAGGTGCGGGATTATAGGCTGAGCCACCAAGCCTGGCAAGTTATCTCTTCTGTTAACACATTCGCGACCACTGATGTGAATTTACCTCATCGTAGAAGACGGTATTTTGGGGGTTTATATTCCAAATAAAAATACAAAGTACGGAATACTAGTTGGAGTGGTATCTGAGGCGAATACTGGATATGTCTGCAGCTTTCAGCTGTATTGTGGAAAAGGCAACAATTTAGAAAAGACCATTTCACTTGTGCTTAACGACAGAAGTTTGTGGCAACCAACTTCAGTTGTTTTTTTTTTTTAACCTGTTCTCAGTATTAGGAAAGTAAATTTGCCAGTCGCGAATGTGTAAAGTAAGGCTATCGGACCTGATGGTCTCTAAAGCCTTTGTGATTTGAGAGTCAGAGCTCCATGGAGTTGGTCAGGGCCGGCTTTTTGAGTTTTGAGTTGAATAGTGGGGAAGAAGGAAAGAGTGGGAGAATGAGAGCCCTTTAATTCCCCACCCCACCCCAACCTCTTCTCAAGCTATTACATTTGCTAAGTCCAGAGTATGAATGACCTAAATTCAGAGTTTAGAGGCTGCAGTGGTCAGGTTGACCTACACTAAGGCACTCTGTTTTCCAGGGCATCTTCATCAAGGATTCCAACTCACTGGCTTACTACAACATGGCCAATGGTGCCATCATCCACCTGGCCCTCAAGGAGAGAGGCGGGAGGAAGAAGTAGAAGAGAGGAACCTACTTTCAGGTCCCGGCCATTTTTGCCTATCCTGTCCCCCGCCCCAGACCTAGAAGGCCGACCTGGGGCCTGCATATTTGTCTTCCTCTTACTCAGTTTGAGAATTCAAATTGTCCTATTCATTTCCCCCATCCCTTTCCCACATTTGTAAGAGTAGCAGTAGCTACTCTCTAGAATCTCTTTGTATTAGGGTCTTGATTTGAGGGTATTCATTTCTTTGGGTAGTACATTAGGACTGAGAGCACGGGGATGTCCTGCAGAATAGTTGTATCGGCCAAGTGGTTGTTGTCATTAATCATTTTGTATCTTGTCATGATGGGCTGTCTAATAAACCTCTTGGACCATTCTTGTGAAATCAATATAATAAGACTTGTCCCTTGGCCACTTGTGCCCTGATCCGACTTGAGGCCATGATAACACTACACAGTGCTGTGTGGCTTCTCTTATCTGAGAAATCGTGGGGTTTGTAACCAAATTCTTAATGCCATCATGTATTTTATGTATTAGAATTTTAATTCTTAAACATTGTAAAAGCATTACATTTGTATTGCCCTTTTAAAGCATTAGATCCTCTAGAAGGCTAGTCCATATATTTAACAGGTAAATACAGGAAACCTTTAGCATGCCAGGCACCACATAAGAACAAGAATGAATGGAGCAATTCCTGGGTCAGCGTGCAGCCAGGATGTGCACCTGAGACTCAAACGTAGTGGGGTGTCCTGCACGCCTGTAATCACCCATCACCTGATGGGCTTTGTGGGCCTGGGTGAGCGCCTCACCAATGTACGGATCTGAGAAGTTTCTTTAAAAAACATCTATTTAATAAATACTTTTTTTTTTTTTTTTTTTGCGTTGAAGTCACTCTGTCGCCCAGACTGGAGTGCAGTGGCACGCTCCCGGCCGCTGCAGCCTCGACCTGCTGGGCTCCGGCGATCCTTCCCCCTCAACCTTCCAAGTAGCTGGAACTACAGGTGCACACTACCACGCCCGGCTAATTTTTTTATTTATTGTAGAGATGAGGTCTCGCCAAGTTGCCCAGGTGGGTCTTGAACCCCGCGGGCTCAGGCAATCCACTCACCTCAGCCTCCCAAAGCGCGGGATTACAGGCTGAGCTACTGAGCCCGGCTTATTTAATAAATAATGTTGTCATGGTCATACACTATTCCAAGGACTTTATAAAGTTTAATTTACTCCTTACTGTTTTAACCACTTTATCAGTTCTTTCTTTTTAACTCTTAATTTTTTTATTTTAAAGATGTGGGGTACAGTTCAGGGTTAGGTATACAAATGTTCATTTTGCAGGTACCCCTGTTGATGAGGTGTGCCCCCCCTTCCCCAGGCAGATTCCCACTACTGCCGATCTTACCTCCCTGCACCCCTGCAGTTTCCCACTACTAAAAATATGGAATGCTTCATGAATTTGCGTGTCATCCTTGCACAGGGGCCATGCTAATCTTCTCTATCGTTCCAATTTTAGTATATGTGCTGCCAAAGCAAGCACTACTTTATCAGTTCTAGCTTATGTAATCTTCATGTAAGTATTCCTATTTAATGCTTGGGTAAACTGAGGCACAGGGAGGGTGAGCTGCGTGCCCACAGTCACACAGTACTAAGGTGAAAAGAGAATGTGTGTAAAACACTTGTCACAGTCCTAGTCCCTGAGTAAGGGCCAGACACAGACTGTTGCTTTTGGAATTGAGTTATCTTGGGGAGATAGGCCCTGCTGTTGGTGTTCAGAGGGAAAAAAGTGAGAGCCTGTTGATAACAGTTGCCTGGTTTTAAAGCTAAAGCTGATTTCATTCTGAAGATCTCACGGGTGTAATCCCTGAGAATTCCCATTGCCTTTTATTTGTAACCCTTCTATTAGATGCTCCTAACTATCCCAATCAGGTTGTCTCCAGGGCTCAGAGGGGTGAGACCATTCTCAGAGTCACAGAACCAATTTTCAAGTCATCACCCTACCCCTGCCTCTCCCCTTCAGCCATGCTCAAAGCCCCCAACTCCAAAACTAGGGCTCAGGCAGCACATCTGCAGTGCCACTTTTATGGTTTCATTACAGGTTGCTGGATCCCTCACATTTTTAACTTGGTTGATGGGATGTCCTTCCTCCTGTCTGATATTTGCCTCTAGCCTGGTTGCTGGAAGTTTGCCTCAGAGCCAGAACTGAAATTTGACTTGCTGAAATTTGGCTTCCTGAAGTGGGCCTCATGGTTTGGCTGCCTAAAGTGAACTTTTCCATCGTCAACAAACACCAGACATTTCTGAGTACCACCTGGGTCTCATTTCAAGAGGAAAGGGTGCCAGGAGGAGGCACACATTCCAAATTCTTTATTTCTGGGAGTTGGAGTCAGGGCACAGTGTCAGGGCACTTGCCTTCACAGACTGGCAGACCCTACAGGGCCTCCGTGTCTGAGGCTGTGATTGGAGGCCAGGAATGCTGCTGGGTGGAATGTGAGTGAATGGGTCCTTTGAGTTGCCCTCTGGGGAGCGAACCCAGTTTCCCAGAGCTCCTGAATGAACATCTGTCCTGGCTCGCTCAGTCGCAGAAGGTTCATTGACCTTGAGTCCTTGTGACCATTGGTGGCCACAGGCCCAGCGTGTGGCCTGGCACTGCACTCCCTGTTCAGGACCTACAGCATGTAGGTAGTGCCTGGTGTTTACAAAGCTGCTTGCACAGCTTTTCTGATTCTTATTGCAATCTCTTGAAGATTATCTGCCCTGTTTTAAGATGAGGTGGAGTACTCAAGGTCATGTAGCCAATGAGGGCTCTGAAAAGCCAAAGCAGTTTATCCCATACTATCCGCATTGTTCCACCAGACCTGACGAAAATAGGAAGAAATACTCATGTGGTAGGACTGTTGAGAAAACTAGGTGAGGTGGGACTTGACACATTTCAGAGTCACCGTAGATTTTTAAAGACTTGCACGCAGAGGACTCCAGGAGTCATAGATATCGAGAGATTTCACTTTCCACTCACTACTTGAAACGAGTACTTGTTATGTAGCCTAGAGGAGGCCACTGATGATCAGACCCATTTTACCTTAAAATTATTATATTAGAGAATATATACAGTGGTTATATTAGTTTCTGCTAGGGTATATACTTGAATGGAAATGTTCCATGTACTGTAGCTGTAACAATCATATGTAATATTTCACTCCTATAATTTAAAAATTGGCAAAAAAAGTTTAATATAGCTCACATTTAAGGGTATACATGAGTATACATAGTAGTATATATGATTTTTAGAAGTTTTTTAGAAAGTAAAATGTAAGCTCTTGGAGTTATGATCATTAACTCTACCTGATTTAGAGATTTGCTCTTAACTGAGTTGTTAGATTTTAAGTATTCTGCCCTGTTATATTTTGAAAAGTGCATGTAAGTGAGCAATTCTAGGTACCACTGGGCCCTACAATCCATGAAGCAGGACAAGATAAACTCCTACCAGGCACATTGGCAGGTACCTATAATCCAAGCTACTTGGGAAGCTGAGGTGGGAAGATTACTTGAGCCCAAGAGTTTAAGACAAGACCTGGACAGCATAGCAAGACCCTGTTCCTAAAAGAAAAATAATTAGACTGGGCACGGTGGCTCACACCTGTAGTCCCAGCACTTTGGGAGGCCAAGGTGAGAGGACTGCCTGAGCCCACGGGTTTAAGACCAGCCTGAGCAACATGGCAAGACCTCTCTACAGTAAATCAAAAAATTAGCTGGGTGTAGTGGTACGTGTCTGTAGTTACAGCTACTTGGAAGGTTGAGGTGGAAGAATTGCCTGAGTCCAGCAGGTTGAGGCTGCAGTGGCTGTGAGCATGCCACTGCACTCCAGCCTGGGCGACAGAGTGAGACTCCGACTCAAAAAAAAAGTTTAAACTCCTATTCCTTGTTGTTATATCATGACATAGAATATTGTTACTATTGTTGGTTTAAGCTAAATCTAGTTAAGGCCCTCAGTTTTCCTTGTCCCTGAGCTGTGTTGAGTAGATCAGGGGTAGGCATGTGACCCAGTATAAATGATTGGCCCATGAGGGAATGCAGCCAGCTTACCATTGAACAAATTGTGTGGATGTGTAGGAAGGATGTGAGGTCTGTAGCTGGTGCGCTGAGGGGCGCTTAGCTTGAGGATGATGCAGCCGCAGGAAAGAAGACGGAAAAAAAAAATTAGGCCGTAGCATTGGTGACAAAAACCTCTAGATGAACTTGCTCCTGAAGCCTTACCCTGCCTATGAATTTCTTTAAGCTATGGGACCCACTAAATGTAATTTTGATTTAAGCATGTTTGAGTTGTGTTTTCTGCTACTTGTACTAAAAGATTCTTTTTTTTTTTTTTTTTTTGAGTTGGACTCTCACTCTGTCACCTAGACTGGAGTGCGGTGGCCGCTTCCAGTCACTGCAGCCTTGACCTGCTGGGCTTTGGTGATCCTTCTGCCTCAGCCTTCCAAGTAGCTGGAACTACAGGCACACACTACACGCCCGGCTAATTTTTAAAATTTATTGTAGAGATGAGTTCTTGCCAAGTTGCCCAGGTGGGTGTCCAACCCGCGGGCTCAGGCAATTCACTCACCTAGGCCTCCCAAGGCGCAGGATTACAGGCTGAGCCACCAAGTCCGGCCACTACAAGATTCTTAACTGTTGTCCTCCATGTTAGAATAGATAAGCTTTCTAGTTTGCCTGCCCTTTCTAGGCTGCTAGGCACCAGCTGTCTACCTTCTGGGCCTCAGCTCTGCTGTCATTACCAATAAAGGCTGTGACATCTGGATTTTGCTAATGGCCAACCCTGACAGGTTTCCTGAGCACATGCAAACTGCATATTCCAGGATCCAGAAGAGGGGCCTATGTGAGTGTCTCAGGCCCAGGTTTTGGGAATGACCTCAGCAGGATGGAACTCCAGGATATCAACATGTTAGAATGTCCAACAGCCTGTTCACCAGGACATTTCACAGCATTGCCTAAGGCCTCTTAGTTTGTACTCCACTGAACCACATGATTCTGCAGGACATTCCGTTTTGATCATTTATTCATTTGTTCACTGCTCCTCCTATTTTCTCACTCCAGACTAACCACACAGCCTGCTTCTCCTTCAAGAGGAAACATTGTACCTCCTGTCCTTGTACAGTATTCTCCAAGAATCCCAGAAAGGCTCCCTAATTTCTGTCCCCAACCCCACCCTCATCCCTACCCCAGCATTCTCTACACCTTACCTGGCTTTCTTTTCTTTTTCTTTTTCTTTTTGAGTCTAAGTCTCACTTTGTTGCCCAGGCTGGAGTGCAGTGGCACCCTCATGGCCACCACAGCCTCGACCTGCTGAGCTCAGGAGATCCTTCTGCTTCAGCCTTCCAAGTAGATGGAACTACAGGC